ACATTTAACATTTGCAATGCATGGAATTACATTCATACAAGTAACTCACCTGGGAATCTTGACAAGCATTACCATAAACAGGTCTGCTTCAGGGAGAGCGAAGTGATCACCCTTAAAGTTGACCAGCTGCTTTTCCTGCATTTATTGAAAGAGACAAAAAAAGCAAATATTAAAACCAGACTGTGTTTTTTGAGGGAAAATTACGGACCAACAATTAAAAGGAAATTAATATATAGCTGACACACGTACCTCCACTTCATCTGGAAGCAGCTTGCACAGCTCCCTCAGTTTTCCAGAAGGAAAACTGAGACTACTTCCTGATTTAATTTCTTTAATCATGTCTTTTACAGGCCTGTGGAGGGAGGCGGAGAGACAGACAGGGTTCAGATCTTTAGCACAAATGATCTTGATGTTTTGGTTTAGGGTTGGGACTTACCACATATTTGCAAGTTGGGCTGCTGACACCAACAAGCCTCTACCTGCTCAAATAACTTTGCAAAATAGCTTTTGATGTCAATCCCAGAAAAACACTGTGCAGGGCATTAGAATGATAGAATATATTTGACAAGAAACACGTTTTCAGTTGTTGTGTTCATGTTTTGAGGCCATCATAACAGCTGTATTGTGATTTTTCTATTTCCTGTTGCATATGCCAAGTAGCCTTGGGCAATACATTTACAATACAGCAAGGTAACCTGTTAGAGCTGTAAAACAGCGTAGATCAGACCTGCCAGGACATGTTGGGTTTCAAAGGTTTGTGAGCATGAGGCAGCCCTGTTGCAAATTAATCTGTCTGCCTCGTCTTGTGTTGTTTTAAAGAGGAACACGACAAATGTTGTGCAAAAACAATCACACCTTAAAAATACTGTCACTGACTCACCTCTTGAATTGCTTTAGGAAAATTCCAATGTTCATGCTCCTCTTGGAGCTGAGGATGGAAACCTGGGAGTGGAAACAGAAACAGACCTGGATATAATCAGCTTGTCAGTTGCTAAGATAATTTCACTATTGGCATAAGCAGCGTCTTTTGTATTCCAGATACCCAGCTTTCTAAACAGACAGATGATTCCAAAGGTTAGGAATTCTCTGAGTTGATTGTATTGAACAATCAGGGAAAAGATACCATTTTGCATTAGTGATCAGTGTTTCACTTGGAAAAAGGGACACAGGTCAAAGTAAAAGTTAAATAACAGATTTTAACCCACTTTTGTTATACAAATAGCATCGATTGATCTACAGAGTAAATGACAGTGCAGGTTATAAATGGATATGAAAAAATCTAGTGACTTAAGACCTGTCTTTAAATGAATGACAATAAATGCAGTTTATTATAGTAGCTTGAATACAGAGCAGAAGTAGGCTACTAAACAGAATAGGGCTGTATGAGGACACAACCATACCTTCCTTTGGCAAACAGATATGAAGAATAGTGAGACTCCACCCTTGCATTGAGTGATTCTAAATTAAAACACAGTGTTGTTTAGACTTTCTTATTACTACTCTGGCAATGCAATATTATTACAGTTACAAGAGTTTTAACAAAATGATCTTCCTAAAGTATCACTTTGGCCTCAATCCCTATAAATATAAATTGTGATTGTGGCATATGCAGCATGAGTTAAACAGAGGAGGTCATTATCCACATCCAATAGACAGTTAATGTAATAGTGTTATTTTAGTTTTTAGCTGAGGGAAACATTGTAAGAATGTTTCCTGTTTATCTCGACTGCATGCGTAGGGAAAAAAATCAATCCAGGTCAAAAGAACTTTGTCTGGATATCACAGCCTTGCACAACAAAAAACACCAAAAAATTCAATCTATTCAAGTGTCACTTTGATTCAGCAAAGTCTGACATCCTGTGGCTGGTTCTACTCACCATTTCCCCTCCTGAGGCAGCAGTTGGCAGCCCCCTCAGACTCTGGCGGTTCAGGGCCTTGACTTTTTGCTGGTTCTGCTTGTGGCTGAACAGCTCCTCCATGTGATCAGTGTCCAGCTCATATTCCCCATCAGTCTTATCTGCCGTCCAGATGTTGTGCTTTCCAATCACACTGTGTTTTGGAAGAGTTTCCCAGTTGAAGTTGCGCATCCTGGAGCTCCGACGGGCCCCCTTCGCAATGAGGCCTGTGCCATTTAGGAATGGAGGGAGGCCAGGGGCTGGGGGTGGAGGAGGAGGTGGAGGTGGGGGAG